ATTTATATCTCTCGATCACTTCAGACCCCCCCACCACCCCAAGCATTACGCTTGAAATCCAGAGGTTCTGAGTTCAAGTCCTATTCCCACAGACTGTCACTCCGGGTCCCTGAGCAAAGACCCTTTACCCCACACTGCTCCCCGGGCGCCGCACAATGGCAGTCAACTGCTCCACAAGGGGAAGTGGTGTCAAAAGTACACACATTTTTTACTTAAGTAGAAGAATAGAAAGTGCAGTTTAAAAANGCACAATGGCAGTCAACTGCTCCACAAGGGGAAGTGGTGTCAAAAGTACACACATTTTTTACTTAAGTAGAAGAATAGAAAGTGCAGTTTAAAAACACTCTGGTAAAAGTTGAAGCATCAATTTGACCTAAAGAAAGTGAAAAAATATGAGCTCCAAAAACGACTAAAAGTATAAAGTAACCTTAAGAAAAAAAAACAAAAAAAACAGCCAGATGTCACTATGTGAATTGAAAGGTCAATTTTTTTGACTATTTTGTAAAATTCTTTGAGATAGGAACAAAGATGAGGGAGGTCTTGTTGGTCTCCATCTCCCGATACGCTCTCACCTCTGTCCGACCTTTCAGATTTCCTTTAGCTAACCAATGAGTGTTTGCCTTATATGACTCATCCAATAACACTAGTTTTCACTAGATGTGGATGTCGCAAATGATCTGCATTGAATGGCGTAAATAAATACACTGGAAAAATGATAAATACAAATAATTACAAACATGGTGTAATTATGTTTGTATGTTTATAAATAAGTAAAAATGTCTGAAATTAAGTGTATTTACCCTTAATTTGAGTAGGTAAATGAGATAGTTTGCCAATGGAATGAGTATTTGTACTCCTAAAATAAGAAATAGACAATGCAATTGTGTTTTCTTATTTTAAATGTAAATTGTAAACTTGTTCCATTAGCAAAATGTGTCTTTTACCTCCTCAATCCAAGAACAAATGCACTTATTTCAAGATAAAATTACTTATCTAGATTTCGATTTTTTCCAGTGTCTTTATAAACATTAAACCGAAGCCAAGAGTAACAAGTAACATTTGTTTTAAAAATGTAAGGAATAGAAAATACAGATACTTGTATGAAAATGTAATGATTAGAAATCAGAAGCAGGGGAAAAAATAAGTAATGGAGTAAAGTATAGATACCTAAAAAGTGTACTTAAGTACANAAGATAAAATTACTTATCTAGATTTCGATTTTTTCCAGTGTCTTTATAAACATTAAACCGAAGCCAAGAGTAACAAGTAACATTTGTTTTAAAAATGTAAGGAATAGAAAATACAGATACTTGTATGAAAATGTAATGATTAGAAATCAGAAGCAGGGGAAAAAATAAGTAATGGAGTAAAGTATAGATACCTATAAAGTGTACTTAAGTACAGTAACCAAGTATTTGTACTTTGTTACTTGACACCTCTGCCAAGGGGATGGTTTAAATGCAGAGATTTAATCTCTTTGCTCTGTACTTGTTACAATGTAATGACAATAAAAGACTGGGAAAAAAAGGAATTAGACCATTCACTTTAGAAGGGGGTTAATAATTATTTAAACAATTATATTTCTTTACACATTGTTTATTCATTGAAATTAGTTTACATAAATCAAATAAAAGTTGTATTTTTGTAAAAAAAAAAAAAAAAAAAATTGTGTGGAGAAAAAAAAGAAGCCAAATTTAAATTCCATGACTGTTTTATGAAAGCAATAAAATGGTGAAACATCCAAGGGGGTGAATATTTAAGATAGACACTGTAGGTTTATTTACATTTCCGCATGGTCCCCTATTGTTTTAAACTTAAGCTAAACAAATAGACCGAACTGAACTCAATTATGAATACCGATATATTAATGTTTATATCTGTGACTCCATGCTGAGCAGATCTTGTTCTGAAGTAAAAACAAATAAAGTAAACGTAGCTATAAATAGCCGGCTTATATAATCCTGCTTGCAGAAACTATAGAGACTAATTCAATAAAATAATGACATATGGTTGATTTTATTGATTTAAATACAACTTTTATGCTCCAATAAAACTACTGGTAGTTTGAGACCCGTAATGTAAGTTGTTTACTGTCCTTCATGATCACCTTCGGGTAGCTAACGTCAGCTCTGGTTTATTCCCCAAATATCAAACTAAAACATTGAGATATGTAGGTGTGTTTTTGTTCTGTCGGCTGTTCAGCGTTGAATCAAAGCGAGAGGGAAGCACTAAGCCTGTCTTACCGCCGGACAGCCCGCGGAGGAGCCTTCCAGCCCGCAGTCCTCTCAGAAGCGCCGCCATAACAAGCTGCACAACTGGGAGGTTCACAGCTACGTCATTTTACCGCGACAGCGATCATAAAACGGAAGTTGGGTTTTCAAAATAAAACTACACCACAAATAAACAAATTAATTTAAACTAATATTTCACTATCTGCTTCATATTAGAAGCTATTTTGCGCAATAGATAACTTTTAATTAAATATTAATCATATAAGACTACAATATCTTTGCTTACATTAAATACTACAAAAGAGACCTTTTAAAAATACATGTATTTTGAAAATTTAAGACAGGAAACACTTATTATCGGTTTACTCAAGCGACATTTTTTTGTAACTGCAGTCAGGAGAGCAGGTGAGTCATTGAGGAAAATCATTTTATTTTATTTTTTAGTGTGGTAATTATAGTACTTAGTGGGGTTTTTCATCTGTAATTAAAAAGTTAATACATTTTTTTTCATGTTTATAACGTAGAACCAGGCTCTTAGTGCGTGAATAGCGCGTTAAACCCTAAAAAGTGTCACTAACGGTTACAAACTGCGTCACTGTGACGAAGATTTCTTACTTTTGATAAGTTAGTTTTATCATTATTGGTACTAAACCCATTTTCCATATAGTCTGATCTTTAAGTAATAGATTTGTTTCATAGCATATAGTTTAACAGAACATTTTAGATAGTCTGTCAGCGCAGGTCGATGAAGATCTGACTTATACAAGTCTGGATTAAATTAAGGCTTTAAGGTTAAGGGTTTATATAACTTGATAATATTGAGACGTTATTTTAAACTGATGCATTTGTTTCTAATTGGACCTCCATATCCACTGTATTTAACTGGACTTTTTTTCCTTAGATACCCCTCTTACATCAATATTCTGTTTTTTTTTTAACTTTACAGTATTTTTTTTTTTTCTTATATAGGCCTAAGTGTTTTTACTATCGTCTGTCTACTCGTACTAAGGTTGCTGATAAATTGTATGGAATTATGAAATTAATACATAGCAGTAGAAGTGAATTGTTTAAACATTAACGAAGAAGTAAATAACTAATTAAAATGTTATTTATTTTTTTAGGAAAATATAAGGAGACATAAGGATTTCTATAGTGTTAAAAACAGGTTTTTTCGTCAGCGTTATTATGATCTGAATAGGTGTGGGGAAGAAAAATTAAATCTACTTTTATATGTACTTTAAGAAATATATTTCATTACTTTTGGAAAGAGGACAGCAGAGTTTCCAAAGTACATTTTTATGTTAAATATGCAAGCTGAGAGCAGTTTAAAAAAATGTACACACTTCAGCTTTTTTATGTAATTAGAAAATGTAATTTCTTAAACAAAAATAGGACAAAGGGTTTTTATCAGATTGATGCTCAGAAATCTGAAAATGAACCCAGAGCCAAATAAGATCCTGATTTAGATCTGGCCTTTTTTTTGAAGGGTCACTGAAAATCTTCTGACCAAAGTCCGAGAAGCAGAGAGATAGAAAATATGTTTAAACTGATTCAATTATCTGATATTATGGGAAGCCCTTGTCGTTTTTCTCCATGGGAGTTTGGTCTGAACCTGAAGACCTGTGTGATGTAAAATTGATGGGTGACGTTGAATTGCTTTGTTGACAGACTGAGGATCAGGACAGTAAGCTGTTATTTAACTCTCCCAGCATTTGCGTTGCTGCTATATAAATACTGGCTGCAATTTTCTCTGTTGCCTGAACGTTATAATTAAAAGTGCAGCTGGAAAGAATAAAAGACCTCAGGACCACCAGCAGTGATGTTTCTTTTTTTCAAATAAAACCCAATCTGGTGCTTGTTGAGATTAAGCCCTAAATGTAATGATTGTTTTCTGGAATTTACCCTAATTGCTTTTTGTTTCCATTGCACTGATTTAATGAGCAGTCAACTTCTCAATTGATTTTAAACTGGAAACAACTTTCCCTAATCTTTTTACCAGGAAATCATGGCAGACCTTGGCATCAAAGCAGGAGAAAGAGTGTTGCTGGTGTGGGCTCAGCCGTCGACACCAGAAGCCTTGAAACAATATGCTGAGGAACTGGGGGCAGCTGTGGGCGCTGACGGAAAAGTGTCCGTGGAGAACATGGAGAGGCTGTCACTTTGTGAGTTCAATTCCCTCCGATTTAATCAAACAATCTAATTTAGTTGGTGAAACACGGATTTTAATGTTACTTAAAATTATTCTTAATTTCACAACATATAGAGTTAATGGTAAGTTTTTAAAGTAACATTTATCCTACAGTTATTTAGAATTTTAAGTAAGGAACTGACATATATTAAGCATTAATAGTCTTACAGTAGTTTCTCTTTTTCCTGTCTTTGTCACAGCCTCCCACACAGCTTCTTCCTTTGACTGGGTGCTGTCGTCTCTTCTGGCCGACAGCTCCTCCATCCACAGTTCAGACTGCTTAGCTGAAATGGTCAAAGTGCTGAAACCTGGTGGGAAGTTGGTTCTGGATGAACCAGTTGCAAGTAAGACGAATCATTGCTTTCAGATGGTTTTTCAG